AAAAAAAAAAAAAAAAAAAAAAAAAAAAAAAAAAAAAAATTTCAGCATATATTTTGAAGAGGGGGGAGGAGTGGGGGAAGGGCTCAAAAACGGCTATGCCTAGGGCCCACGAAAGATATAATCCGGCTCTGTGCCTAGGGCCTACGAAAGGTATAATCCGGCTCTGCCTGGAACCCTCTTAAAATGGATTTTTTGAAAAAAAATTAAGAAAAACAATGATTTTTTTAATTTTTTCAAAATGATATGAATATTTTTTAGTTCTAATTTAATAAAATAAAGTTAAATTTAATTTATTATGACTTATTTTAATTTTAAATATGCTTTCTTAAATGAAAAGATGTATAAATACTTTTATATTTGAATAAATAGAAAATATATGAGAAACAAATTTAAATCTGAGGACCCCAAAAATTTGAATGGCCTAGGGCCTCGCATACGCTTAATCCGCCCCTGCATTCAGGTTACAAGTTAGTTGATAAATTATTTATAAAATAACGATGCCATGCTCATACTTTTTCCTTTATTGTAGGTTTCTGACTTAATTGAACATATTTATAATGAAGAAAAGTTAACAGAGCTTAATGTCAGGCTAAGATTTTTCTTTTGCTGTATTTTGAAAGAATTTCTATCAGGTCCGTTTCCGTACTGTGATGTTCTTCCCTTTGGTTCTTCAGTGAATGGAATTGGAAGGCATGGTTGTGATTTAGATTTAATGATACGTCTCTATCCTGAAAAAGTAAATATTTTATTGAATTCATAACTTATTATTTTTTGTAACTTTATCATGAAAGTACGTAATTATGTGTACGTTCGCAAGTACATTCCCATATACTCTGATTGTAATTTTAGTGCCATATAATAGGACAAATTTTCAAATTGTTCTGAAAAGCATTGTTTGATGGTATGTGTGGATAAAACCTATTCAGGCTGTAAGGTTTTGTGAATTATGCTGTTAACTTACGGAAATTTAATAAACTTGTAAAGGCTTTTCTATTGAATAACAATGCTAAGTAATAGTTTGATTTAAAAATGTTACCTTTGGAAAAAGTTTACTCATTGTATTGCTACAAGTCTTTAATTACTTTTCTTTTTTGGGTATTGAAAATGGGCAAGTTTGTAAAACTTTTTTGAAAAACACAAAGCTGGAATGCTTGCTGACTTCATTTGTTAGTTCCAATGATTCAATTTAATTACTTTAAAATCAATATATTAATAAAATTTGTTATTCTTTGTTTCTTATTACAAAACCGAAATATTGTTAAAAAAATTATTTCATTACAGGTTCTGAACATATATGCGTTTCCTGCCTTACTCCTTTGCTTTTTTACTTCAAATTACAATATTAAAAATTTAATCATAGCTAATAAGTAATTTTTTTATTGTAATTTAGCTCTTAGACGTAGAACTAAGGACAAAATTGATGGAATGGTTTACTGTATTCTTACCAATAATTTTTTTGCTAATTAGACGTCTATAAAAAAATTTATCAAGAAGGATAGTGAATATATATTTGAGAATGTTAAATAAAGAGTTATTTAATATCTTCTATTTATCTTCCATTTTGTTTCAATGCAGTAAATTTGCTTAAAATGTGGACTTTTTCATTGGTTAATAATAAAATTAAAATCATAAGTATTAAGAAATTACATTTTCTTGTTTCTTTCTTTTTGTCAGCTTAAAAATGCCAACAAAATTTGTTTAATGTTTGTGTGTAGCTTTTTTAAAAAGTGCTTAAAGGTCTTTTTTTAAAAGTGCTTTATATAACCTCTTCGAAAATTTTTTTTCTTTACCGTGGTGATTTTCGCCACTTGTTATACAAACACATTGCTCTATTTAACATTTTCACAATTCATTTAACCACAATCCATTTTGGCCTACCGTAGGTCTATAGTGTATGAAATCAATCATTTTACATGTTGGATGAAATATTTGCAAGTCTGCACATGTATCTACTGAGCTGGATTCTCAGAGATTCTAGCACTCTCATTCTGATGTATTTTTTAAGATATTCTCAATTTCAGGCTTTATTTTCCAAACTCTGAAATTGAACCGAAAAATCTTTCGATCTTTTTATGGTGGCTAATATAATCAGGAAAAAAGTTTTTTGTCCAAAACTAGACATTTTATCAAGATCATGTAGTCTGAAAATTTTTTGCATTTTGTTAATGTATTTAATGCTTAAAAATATTTTTTAAGAGCTTAAAATGTACTTAAAGCGTGCTTTTTTTGTTGAAATATTTGGCTATGCACCCTTTGCGTTTTTGAAGTGAAAGTAGAAGAATATGAACTGACTTTGAAGATTAATATTAACTGGCTTTGCAAAATTTGAAGTATTTAAAATATTTTGAGAATTTTTAAAAATTCTGTTATTAAAAATTATTATTAAGAAAAGCTCCTATAACATATAAAAAATTGCATTTTAATTATGTTTTAATATTATGAATTATTTTAATGTCATTCAATATCTTTATTTGAAATAGTATATAAGAGTTTTTAATCTTTAAAAAAAATTTTTTTTAGATAGATACAAGCTCTGAATTGTATTTTGTCAACAAGACCTGTGTGGGAGACATTAAAAATTTACAGCGAAGAGTAGTACACTGCATAGGTGATTTGTTGCGAACTTTTTTACCTGGTATTACTTCTGTGAATAAGATTTTACATGCTAGAGTTCCCATTGTCAAACTGGATCACAAGATTTTAGGCATGGAGGTTGATATTTCTGTAAATAATTTGTAAGTTTCATCGATTTTTAAATGCATTTTATTTATCATACTAGTAAATTTAGATTTTTATGTCAAATTATGTTGTGAAGTCAACATATTTCAAGTGCTATAAAAATGAACCTGCATTTCAAGACCTGCCTCAGAACAGAAACAAAGGTAATTTGAAATATAAATTGCAGAGTTGCTAACAGAAAATGAAAAAAAAAAAGGAGAAACAAAGCAAGAAGAACCACTGTAGCTGAGAAAAAAATACAGTGGCAAGTCAGGTTGAAATGTATTTTCCACTTGCTACGGAGAGGTAGTGTGAAACTTATATCGTTATCACCCTTCATATCAATATAACAAGATTCCAGGGCATCAAGATGAGCTGATGTTACTGGGGTGGAAATAATTTTGGCATTGTTGAAATTGAATTTATGCCACAGATGCCTATGATGTGCTGCAGTTGATGATTTCTCGTGTTCTTGATAATGAATTGATCAATCGTGTTCCTTGAGTCTAACTTTTAAAGTGTGCCTAGTTTGTCTCATGAAACCAAGGACGCATGGACTAGAAATGTGGTAAATGATCCAGTGATTATAAATGCTAATAGGATCTTTAAGAGACTCAAATTTAATTTTGTTAACTAGCCTTAAATTAATGAATTTAAAACAAAAGCGAGAGAGGATATATTCAAAATTTAATAACAAATGGAACAAAGCAATGGCAAAGTAATAAAATTGCTGAAGGATTAGAAGAAAAGAGATGTTTGGGTTTATTGAGTTTAGCTAGAGCTGAATCAACTATAATTTTGTTAAATCCACAATTAACAGCAAATGAGCTGAGGAAGTTAAGTTCAGAGTTAAAAGAGTTAAGGTTAAGTTTCGCGATATATCTTTTATTAAGAATACGAGAAATCTTCAATTGCTCCACATTGTTGGAATCTTAGGCATAAATTCAATTTCAACAATGCCAAAATTATTTCCACCCCTGTCTCATCAGCTCATCTTGATGTCCTGGAATCTCGTTTTATTTATATGAATGCTGATTCCCTTGTTTTGACATTAGTTTTCACCATCTTTTCGTAGTGTACAGGATGCATTTTACCCTGTTTGTTACTCTCGGCCACAGTGATTTTTCTTGTTTTGTTACATCTCTTTTTCCTTTTTCCCTGTTCAACATTACATTTCATAATTTCAAATCACTTTTGTTTCTTATCATTCACATCTGGCATGACTTGAAAATGGACGACTATTTTTGAAGTGCTGGAAATGTGTCGACTGTTATTTATATTATGTATTTTTAAAGCAAATTAAGCTTTTAATCAGGTAATATCTTAATGCTTTAGTTTATTGGGAATATTTATTTAATGTAATGTGAAGTGTTTCTGCCATTTCAGTTTTTAAAAGTATTTTAAACTACTTTATAAAATGTATTATTTTAGACCATTTGATGAAAAAAACGTCCTAATTTAAATAATGAATGATAAAGGTCATTATTTAAATTTATAAATCATATACTTCAGAACCTAAAATTGTATACAAATTTCAATACTGCAGTGGGGTGCAAAATACAGAAAATTAGGGCATATTTGTTAGTTTAAAATGTGAATAAATTTTAATGAAAAACATTGAAAAAATAAAATACAAAACTAATAAATATGAAACTGATGATAATTCATTCTGAAAACATAAAGCTGAACTATATCTTTTGACTCTAACTTTGTTATGAAAGTTAGAGTCAAGAAATATAAAACACATTAGTAGTTTATCTATCAAAGAAAAGTAAAGGCGAAATCTATGGTAGGAGAATAAGCAAAAATTAAAATCAAATTTCAAGATGATGTCAACATCTGGTGTTAAAAGAAGAAATGTTTCCATATACTTTATGTATAGTTTTACAGACTTACATTTACTGAGGGTGTATTATTTTTTAATAAAAACCTCTTTTTCAAAGATTATGTCTGGCAAAATAATTAATTTTTGAATCATAGTAATCAAACTAAATTAATATATAATTTATTCCAATTCATCATTATTTATTATTAGTATTTCTTGCTATAATTAGATTTGGCTATTATTATTAAAAAGTGCTTCTCTTAGGCAGATTTAGATGTTTGGAAAGAAATACTTTTTATTAAAAAACAGTAAATGTTTTTTTTTTTTTTTTTTTTTTTTTTTTTTTTTTTTTTTTTTTTTTTTTTTGGTAAAAGACCCTTCTGGGGAAAAATTTTCTTTCTCAAGGATATGGAAACATTTCTTGCTTAACATTAGTTGTAGACATTACTGCTTGCTTTTAAAGTTTAGATTTCTTAGTTCGATTGATTTTTAAGTTCAGATTACTGCTTGCTTTTAAAGTTTAGATTAGATGAGTTAGATCATTGGAACTACCAAGTATTTTATGTCTTTTGAATTTAACCTTCTTATTGACAGATTTAGTTTTAGGTCTTATGTACTTTACACATCTCCTTTGTAATGTTCTTCGTTACTAATTTTCATTTTGTACTGTAGATGATGCTTCAATGTAGCATTGAAACTTTATGCAATTTTAACCCATTCAGAATTGTAAACGCTTTAAGAAAATCAACTTTCTTTCAAAAGAGAAACTAACCATTTTGAGCACCACCTATTCTTCTAGACCAAATCCATTAATAATTCTTGAGATCTGGTTAATTTATGGGTAGTGAAATACCTGGTCATGGCGTTTTGCTCTACCATGTGACCAGACCAGGTCTATTCACAATGCTTTTATTATTTAACTTCTGAAGTATAGGATTTCAGAATTTTTATGCTAGTTTTTATCTCTTATTATTATCTATACAAAGTTTATTTCTTCAAATATTAGTTAAACTAATAGAATAATTTTTTATTTTTATAGTACAGAGAATGATTTTTTAACTCTTTATTTATATATGGTTTTAAATCTTTCTCCTTTTATTTTCTTTGCTGTTAACAAATTTGTTCTGAAAAAGTGTTTAATTTTATTTTGTCTAATCTTTCAGGGCACCGATCCTCATGTCTGAGCTACTATATTTCTGTGGGGAGGTAGATTCACGAATTAGACCTTTAATATACGCTGTAAAGAAATGGGCACGAGAAACAGATATTACTAAGAGCTCACCTGGCTCATGGTTTACTAATTTCTCACTCACATTATTAGTAGTTTACTTTCTACAGAATAGGCCTACACCTGTATTGCCTCCTCTAAAAGAAATTATAAATATCATAGGTAAGAAATTATAAATATCATTTTTTTTAAATATTGTATCTACTTGAACTTTATGTTTGATGTATATTTACGTTAGTTTTGTGTGAATATGGATGTATTTATTAAGAAACTTGAGTCAGTATTTGTTTTCCATTGTATGTGAAATGGATGGTTATAATTAATTTTATACATTGAATATTGTTTTTCACTATAAATTTATTTATAACAACTGTATTTTAAGATGCTGAATTTAAATCTTAGCTCCTGTTATGTAATAATGAATTTCGTTTTTAATACAAAGTGTACATACATAGTTAAAAGAGCTCATATTCAAAAAGAGCTCAAATTGCAAAAAGAGAAAGAAAAAGTTACAATTATCAAAATTTCAAGTTAAGTTAAATTCCTATATTACATTTAGTACTGTGAAATATAGGAAAGGTATTTTCAATTATTTTTTTCTTATTATTTTGTCTTTATTATTTAAATTTATTACTGTCCAGTGTTCACATATTTTGCTGAAAAGGGGTACTGCATTGTCCTTAGTTTATTTAAAAAGCAATGAATGATCATAACCAGTGGAACATGTTGCTTTAAGTTGATAAAACTTGTGCTAAACGTTGGAGGGTTAATTGCCTCAATCCTAATTATTAACCTAAGCAGTGTTAGAAACACTGTAAATATGATCACATAATTTGATGTAAAAGTATTGCAAACAAAGACCTTTTTACCCTGCCCAGTAACAGTTTGGAAAGAAAAGTAGCTAGTGCTTAAAAAGGTTAGTTTCTTCTTTGGAAGGAGGAACACTTTTAGTTTCATTTCCCAAAAGAGGAAGCATTGCTGAATTAGTTAAGCTCAGTTTTCCTTTCTTTCATTATTTGGATTTGTTATAATAACATATGTATACAATTTAAATAGCATTATTAGCAAAATTTCAATATTTTTATCATCGCCATGAAAATATAGTTCTTCTATAGCTTTAGATTTTCTTTTAAATAATTAAACTGAAAAATCACACATGAATGCATAACTTTTGCTACCATACTTAGGGCAACCACACGGTCCTTTTTTTCCCTCCAATGTCTTCTTTTGAAGATTTGAAAGTCTGTTTAAAGTGTTTCAATTACGCTAAAATTGCTATGATCGTTCACATCATTTGAAAGCCAGCAATATTGACGTTAAGAAACTGTCATATATATCAGTACCCCAATCCATGACCCTGGACTCATTTACTGATTTTATTTTATTTTTATTTATAACCGTCGTTGAACAGCAGACCCAATGTTTTTGGTTTACAACTACTAATGTCCAACTCCGTAACCTTGAAATTTTGAACCCAATCCAGAAAACAATGGAACTCCTGTATCAAGTATAGGGATAAATTTGCCTTCGGTGAGGACTTTTTGATGGAACTAACCCGCATTTGCGTTACATGGAGAGGAAGACCACGAGAACCACCCACGGTTAGCCTGATGGCAAGGGGACTCTTACCCATAATCCGTCTACCACTGAGGATATACATCATCGCTGTGGTCGGTGCAAGCCGGATCGTATCAACCAGCCATGGCTGATATTGAGGATATTTATATGTAAATAAAACTTCCTGCTATGAAATTTTATAATGGCAATTTAAGGATCATTTGCTTTACTGTTTTTCAAAAATGAAAACAAATCTTGTCTGATTAAGATTAGTTGTTTCAAAAATTTGAATTGAAATTGTTTCAAAAATCTGAATTGAATTTTCAAAGCCGTTGTGGTATATCTAGAAGATGAATTTGTAGTTCTAAAATCAATAAATTTCTTTTTAGTTGTGGCATATTTATTTTTTGTTCTAATTTCTAAGGAAGTTTACACCCAAAGTACTTAACCAAGTATTAAGGCTTTTTATTTATCTTTGTGGATTTATGGTTTTAATGATTTTTAGTATTCTTGAATTATTTATGAGAAAAAGCATTATATTTTTTAAATTGTGAAATTTATAAAAAGTATGAATTGCAGGTCCCTCCACTTATCTAATACTTATTTTCAACAAATGCAGTACACAATCCTTAAAATTATTAAAAAAAGGTATTAACCAATGTCCTAGATTAATAAAGTGTGTATCCCATTTTATTAGAAGCCACATAGGTTACTCATTTTTCTTTTGCCAGATGTTAATTATCACTTTTCTTGACAGAGTTTTGAATGTTTTTAAAAAATGAATCTGTTTTACTCTATGCAAAAACAAGCTATCAAACTTTTGATTCACCTTGCAACTTAATGTAAATGCAAGATCTCCCTCATTTATTGTTTAGAATCTGTTGTAAATTTATGTAAATTGTGCCTTAATTCTACTTTTACCTTCCAATGTTTTCATATTTTTACTTGCATTGAAAGTGTTTACCTATATTTTATGTAGAAATTATATTAATTGTTTTTAATTAGTTCTACTTTCATTCATTGATTTTTTTCTTCATAGTCATCCTAGAAAAATTAAAAATATTTACATTTTATGTGATAATATCTTATTAACAGAAAACATGTGACAAAAGTAGCATGAAAAATTTCAATTCTGCTGAGATCACAAGATAAATAAGCTTGGGAATCCTACCTTAGAGTGCTTACTATTGTGCTGAGCTATCAACTTTTCATACTCTTTATTCTAGAATTTTTTAATCTTAATATTCTATAAAGATTGACTGTGACAGCTCAATTGTAAAGAATTGAGGTTTTATCCTAGTGACAACTTGAAGCCTACCCAGTTTCAGATCACTGGGTACTAGCTTTTCTGGGAGGTAAAGGCATTCAGTGCACACTGCTGGCCACATTGCCACCATCATGCCATTAGTCAAGAAATCGGGGAGCCGTAACTTTCATGATCCCCCTGGTCCCCAATGGACTGTTGTGAGAATAATTATCTACTCTAAAAGATTGATAAATCATATTTGGTTTAAAAAATTGTCGTTAGTTATTATTTCAATTAAATTTAACTTTTTACGTTTATTTTTTATCAACATTAATCTTATTAGAAAAATTATGTTCCTGTTAAGTCTATAAATTAGTCTGAAAAAATTTTGATATGATATTAAACGTGATCACAATATATTTTCCTTTATTGCTATGTATTTACCTTATTAAATTAAACTTTTAAATTTATCTTCATTTTGTTTGTAATAATCACATTTGCATTATTTTATTTTGTTTAATGTTTTACTTTATTTTAGCTTTTTGTTTCTCCAGATTTCATAATAGTAGAAGTACATTTTTGTGGTACACATTTTTTCCAAAGTTTTAATTCAAGTTCATTTAGATTTTTTTAGAACAGTAAAATTAACAGCGTTATTTTTTAAATTTGTAATCGATAATTTTTTTTAAATGCAGGAGCTGAATTTACTGATGAATACAGATTTGAATATTTAATGACTCTTCCAGAATTGCAAGCTAAAGCCTCTCTAAACAAAGAATCTATAGGTATTTTATTTTGTTACAAAGTGTAAAACAGTAGTTTTATTTTCTTTTTACTGAAAAATGTTTAAATATAGAAGTTCAGAATATATTGAATTAAACAATTACGAAAATAGTGAATGAAAAATAACTAACATAATTCTTATATTTGAGCACAACTCATAAATGTAAAGTTGCAGTTAATTATCAAATTGGTTGAAGCATAATTTGACTGCATTTATCAAAATAGAAATAAAATAAAAAAAAAGAAATTATGTGGAATATTAAGTCTAAAGGTGAGGAAAAATTATTACAAGACAGAACCACATGTAGGTTCTGTCTTGTATAAATACAAATCTACGTACAAATTAATCTTAATAATAGTATTTCATCTATGCAAGATTTTTTTTTAATTGGGATCACAAATTAACTTCAAAGCAACTTATTTTCTCTTATTAGAATGTACTGTATATGGAATTCTTTGGTTAAATATGTGTCTCATAAGCACAAGGCCTCATGCTGATTATTTTTCCATATCATACAACTCCATTTGTTTTCATTAACTTAAGTATGGTTTAAGGGTATAGAAAACATAACAAAAGTCTTCTTTGTTTTCTCCACAGTTTAAAATAGCTATACACAATTGGGTTGTAACAATGATTGCATTATTTTAGTGTAGGAATGTGTGTAATTAGAGACATTTTTAAATGCATTAATTCATTACAGTTAAAATATCAGATGTAATTTTTATAATACAAATTTTTAAAATTGAAATATATGCTACATATGAGTGTAAAGAAAGAAGAGTGATATTGTGTGTAGTTAAAGCTAGTGTAGCTAAAATGATAACATTTATTAAAAAAAAATAAAGGAAACTGTGTTCTTTTATATTCCTCTTACAATTTTTTCCGACCTGCATTTTATGTAAATACTTTAGTTTTATGTATTCCATCTTTATATATTTATGTCATGATTTGCTGTTTTAAATCAATCGCTAAGCATACACTAAAATTATTATTATTTTGTTTTAGATATTACTGTTAACTAAAAGAAAAAAAAAACAATTTATTTATATTTTTAATTCATGTCAGCTATAATAACTATTTTAAGCTCTCTTTTTTATGTATTTCATGCATTTTCTTGTTGACTACACATAATTAAAAAATTTGTTTTTTGTAGATTTTTAAATTAATTATTCTTTTCTTAATTGAAATCTATAAATATTTAGCTTTGGCTTCCTTTATGCTGTTATAAACAATACAATCATAACTTTCTAATAAATTATTTACACCTATAAAGTATGATTATTGTAAGCAATATGACTTGACACATGCTGAGATAATCATTGATAATAGTTGTTGAAGAGAAGAAACATTATATTTTGCATTAGCTGTATGTTAGATAGACGACTAGAAGCAGAAATGTGACTAATTTTAAAATTATATCAATAACTTTTAAATCTAGTATTTATAGTTTTTTTCCCCAGAATACTGAAGAAAAAATTTTTTTAATAATGTTGGCCTTAGTTATTAGTAAATTTTCAGTGCAAAACTACTCCTAAAAAGTTTTAACCGCAAAAAAGTTAATGAAATTGTGATATAATTTGATTGTAAATATTGCTTGAAAAAAAAAGCAATAGCTCGGATGTATGCATACTTATTTCTATACTTTATGAAAGGCTATTTTTTATACCTTCTTTATGAAGGCTATTTTCTATACCACAAGAAGTGCTGTTTCAGTATCAAGATACAGAATAAATTTAAGAGACCAAAGGGCAGTGCTATAGAATTCAATTGAATTTGAAAGTACTGCAGATGACAGTTTGAATATTTTCCCTTGCATTTCTTATGCCACTACAATAGTAACTCTTCTAAATTTTAATGCAATTTTAACTCACATCAAGCATTTTTTCTTTTTAAATTTTGTTGATTTATTTCATTTTAATGACATTGTTTATAATAATTATCTAAATTAATAATTTTTTTTATTCCAATTACCATGCCATATTTTATCAGTGTCCTAAAAATGAGCTGCATCTGAAAAACTGATTAAAGAAAAGTTAACAGAAGGAGACATATGCAGTTTATTATGTGCTCTGTATGCAATTGTCATATTTATTATCACTAAGTTTTAAATTAGTTATAAAATTAATCAATGAAGTATGTTTCAATTGAGTACTATCTGCTATAAAAAAAGTTTTTTGAAATATTTACCATATTCTGAAACTACAGGGTTTACTCTGAAGATAAAATTAACTGAGACTTTTAAAAACATTTAAAAGATTTGATATGCAGTGGAAAACATTTGTTTTTTTTAGTTTCTAAGCTAGTAACACCATCTGTTGACAAACTTTGTGACTAATTTTGAAACTTGGTTAGAACAAATGTTGTGGTTTGCTTCGCAAAACATACATATCTGTATCCTTACATTTTTTAATTGATTTTTTAAATCATTATTCATTTTTAAAACATTAATTATATGGAAGAAATTGCTTTTTCTAAATTTTTTGTAATATTATTAAAAGTTTTTTTCTTTCTTTGTATAGCTGTTCTCTTACAGGAGTTTTTATTATATCTGGGATCCCATCCATTTGAGGACAGATGTATATCATTAATGACTGGTTCTGCCATAGAAAGATCATCAGAATTTCCAGTGTGGATTCAGTACCCACTTGAGGAGGATTTAAATGTTTCAAAAAATGTTTCACAATATGAACTATGGAACACATGCAGGAAAGCTCGTGCTTCAGCTAAGTTCCTTACTACTAATCTTAATGCTAAAAGTCTCCACTTAAAGGACTTATCTATATTGCTTGGAATTGCCGAGGTGTTGAAACTTGATGAGAATAAGTCAAAGCGGGTGGATGTGAAAACTATCATGGGTAGAGATGACCGAAATGTAAGAAAACCATTAAGGAGAATAAGTTGATAATTGTAAATAAATTAGTTTTTAAAAACTTGCTTTTTTTTACTTTCATTGTTATTTTAAATCAATAATTCTCATTGATTTCAAATGAGTGTGGTTTGTTGAAAACTGTTTTGCATAAAATTTAAAGTAATTTTTGAAATCGAATTAAGTTTTATTTTTAGTTTCAGTAAAATTTATTATTAGTTATAAGTTTTATTATTAGTTTCAGTTCAGTTTATTGATTGCATGAATTCCTGCTCTATTATTATTATTATTTTACCATTTTCATCTATTGTTTTTGTGTGGATTATTAGTTTTTATAATTTGTACAATTTATTATTTTTGTAGAACAGAATTTCCTACTGGTGTTCCTTAAAGTGTGCAATATTTTTGATTATCTTAATGAAAAAAGATTCCTGGATTTTATCAGGGATGCGTGTTAATATATTTGATCATTTCTTAACGAATAGCATCTCTCACCTATGCCCTATGCTTTATTATTTAATGATGCTAATTGTCAGTTGATGTTATCATTACGGTTTGTGCAGAAACATAACATCGTTTAACATTTTTTGATTTTTAACAAATTTTCAAGAAACACAAAATTAGTACTTTTGTTTGAAAACAGTTCAGTTATTCTAATTATTTATTTATTTATTTATTTTTTTGAAAACAGGATTTGTTTTCCTTTTTTCATTATGATCTTTAAAGCAGTCAGTTTTATAAGTTGTGTAAGAAACCATAACTGTTTAATCACATATTACCAAAAAATAACATGAAACTGTTTTATTTTAATGAACAACAAAATTTTAAAATTGAAAATTAGTCCACTGTTTTTAAAACTGCCTTTTACTAAATTGTTTTCTGAGAAATTCAATTATTTTCTTATTCTTAATTGAAAATATAAAGTTATACACATGAATTCCAACATAGTAAAGTTCAAGCATAATACTTTCTTTTAGTATTTAATTGTTTATTTTTGACTGAAATTTTAATTTTGACTATGTTTACAAGAAGTGAACAATTATCTGTTTATGTTGCAAGACTATGTGATGGATATTAAGATTTTCGTTGACAAAATATTGTGTTTTCCTTGGTACACTAAATACTTTGACACTTTGCTATGTGCCTATACATCAGACTTTCTTGCAGATTTCTATTCAGGTTCTATTTTTATCTAGATATGTGCTCTTCAGGAACTACTAAAATATAGGTTTCATTATAGATTGTACCATATTGCAATTATTTTACTGGTAAATCCCTAAAAATGTGTTGTTTCCACTTCATTATGAAGCCAATAGGTCTTCATCATTCCTTTTCCCTGAAAAAAGTATTAAGCTATAATCTTTTTTAAATTTTAGTTGCATAGTCATGAAAATAAAGTGAATATTAATTCATAAAGTCTGCTAAAAACTAAGATACATAAGAAATGGCATGTATGTTATTACATCAGGAAGTAAAAAATTTAAAATGCCAAGTAAAATTTGTAACGCCGAGGTGAGAACAGGGTAACTTGAAAATTTTGAGAGAAAATGCTAATTTTTAATAAAACTTTTTTCTCTTTTGATTTCATAAATTATGCATAGAAGTGTAGGGTTAATTACTGCATTGGGTAATGACTGCATGCAAAAATTTTTATTTAAATTTTTAATTATTTTTGCATAAATGTTGTTAAATTTTCTTAATATAGTGCTCAATTTTTTTCTCCTTCAAGGCATGGATGGTTATAGCCTTGTTTGGTTGAAGCTTACTTTAAACTCTTATATGGCAAATCTATTGACAATCTCATTATTATTTCTGGATGCAATCATCCTAAAAACAATGTATGTCAAAATTTCATAACACTGGGAGACAAGTTTTTTGTTGCATCTATGCAAATACTCGAAATTCAGAGGAACTATTGAGCTGACAGCTACAATCAGGACTATTGAGCTGACAGCTACAATCAGGACTCGAAAAACTCAGAAATTTTACCCGTCCCCGAGGACGGCTTGTCCAACAATGTACCTGTCCTTCTTTGAAAGTAACTCGTAGCTTCTAAATAAATAAAAATATAATTTTCTCTTATTTATTACAAACATTTATTTAAATTGCACAATGAATTAGTAGTTACTAGGATTACAAATACAAGGATTGCATTATACAGTAATAAAAGAAATACTAGCTTACTAATAGTAACCTAGTATTAGAGGATCATTTTAGAAGTGAGGAGCTAGACTTTTGTAAGATAACAAAAATTTAAAATGTATTGTGAACATTAAAGGGAAAATAGCCGTCTGAGCGGACATCGTATTCGAGAAATTCGTTGTCTGCGGGAAATTTTTGACCTCCGAGGACGGGCGGTTTTTCGAGTCCTGGCTACAACCATTGTTTTTATGGAGAAGGTATAGCCTTTTCTAGAAGCAGCAGTCCATTTGAGTATTATAAGACAGCCTGATATAAAGAAGTTAAGCTACTGATCTAGTTTAGTTATGACCTGACATACTGAATTGAAAATAATTACATATTAAAGAACTTTCAAAAATGCCTTTTTTAATTAAATAAAGCTGTAAACTAGCACGCATCATTGAAATTATCTTTTAAATATTTGAAGAAAAAAATTCTCTGCAATTTAATTTATAACAATGCTTAATGCCCTACCAGGGGTAAAAATTTATTTCTCTAATGTCTCTCCCAAATGAACAAATTTAAATTTTTGAATGATTTTTAGGATCGGGGGCTAATATGTCCTCTTTTACTTTTCCTAATTTGAGGAACCAAGCAGAAACATAAATGTAAAATACATAGCGAACAGGCAAAAATTCTGAATCAGCATAAAAGAAATTTAAACAAGAATTTAACAAACATTTAAACGAGAACAGTTTTAATTTTATGAAAATAATTAGCAGTCAGTGTTATTCAACTTCTTTAATTTATATCTATAAAAATCTTACTTTCACTTCAGTTTCTCCTCTATAAATAATGTTGAAAGTTTTGAACTCGTCTAAAAGTCGTTTCGTCTCATGACTGACGTGAATTTTCAAAGCTATGAAAATAAAGTTATATAAAATTGTGACAATTTCACTTAAAATATTATTATATCACTGATATTTAATTTAACTACAGTTCTTGTTTAAAAAATTTAACTATGTAAAAAGCCTCACATTATTTTTTTAAAACTTAATTAAAGTAAATTTTAAATTTAATTAGTCAAATCTATATATTTCACACTATTTTTAAACATTAAAAAATAAAGCAAAAGGTAATTGCACAGTTTATTTTTAAAGAAAGATTAATATTATTATTAGAGTAAGGTTTTATATGATCGAAATTGTTTGAACATTATAAACATTGGAATTCAATTATAAATGGAAAATAAGTTAGTTAATGTTTTGCAGCATTGCTTTAATCATTGCATTTAAATGATCTTGAATGAAATAAACATGTTTTCGAATGTCTGTTTGTCCATCTTATGGACATTAAGTAGAATTAATATGTTACACTACACCTCAGCTTTGTTTTTAGGAGCAAATTTATGTCTTTACTTTTCATCATAAATTTTCAATTGGGTTAAGATCTGTTGTATTAGCTGGATACACTATTACTGTAATTTTGCGTTACTCTAGCCAGATCTTAGTGGACTTTAAGTATGGGGTGAAGTTAAAAAATAAAATCAACTTCAAATAAGTCTTCTGATAACGGAATTGTATTGTGCTCGAAGATATCTTGATATATATTTATCTTGTCTTTAAAGAAGCTCATCCTTCCAAGTGTATTTTCGCTCATGCAATTACCATTACTCTACCAGCAAGTTTTACCGAACATTTCAGGCACTCTCAATGTTTTTTGTTTCATCCTCCTTCATTTGGAACGCCTTGATTGCCACCAGATTCAGAATATACTTTCATCACAAAATATCTTTTTGATGTTTCCAAACCTCATAATATTCTTGATTTCAACCACCTCATTTTTGCAAGCTTTTGTTGAACAGTCTTAAGTGTTTTTGAAAAATGAGATTTCAACTTTTCAGATGCCGTAATCTTACAATTTAGAAACGTCAATTCCTTCTTTTCTATGAAAAAGGAATTTATTCCTTAAATATTTCTTTCCTAGGAAAAAGGAATTAATTGATTCTTTCCATATTTGATGTAAATATCGTACATTCTTAAATCTATTTTTTTTTAAAAAAAAAACTTTTGCCTTCAAATATCTGTTATCTCTGGCTAAAGTTTTCATTTTTCGGAATATATTTATCCGGTACTGTTGTAATATTCTACTAACTCTTGATTGATATTGATTCAAATAGTTGGCTATATATTGTTAATTTTTACCATGTCAATGTGTCATTAACTTGTACTTTCATTGATTCTGGAATATTATGTAAACGTCCCATTATGAAAGAAATTCTCAGCTTAAGACACTGAAAAAAAGTATTTTAAAAATAATTGTCTGCAATAAACCTAAAATTCTCATAATCTACTCAATTGTATACTTATTTTTCAAGAAGAAGATCATGGATATCCACACATGTGGACCAATGACATTAGCGCCAGCACATTGTTTATAAGCAAAATGGTGTGTTAAAGTTGAGCTAAGTTTCTCCACGTAAGTTAAAATGTTAATTAACATGAAGTTAATTAAATACACCGCAGTAATGCTCATCAAATTCATTGAGATATAATTCTTTCTTGTCTACGCCTTTTACTTAACTGAGATTTATTATATGTTTATGTATTTTATAGTAACTGTGATATTTTTTTGTTTTGCATGCCTGGCAACTTCGATGCATAATTACTTTGTTTATGCCTTATATGGCTTCATGCCTGTCTGTGTTAAGTAAGAGATATAGAGTGAAGGAATTGATACTTGGTGGGCTTTGCTTACTCCAAATAGAATGGAAAGAACAGTTGCTCATGTAAACAAATGCTGCATTTCAACAACCAATCAGGATCGAAATACCTTTTTCCAGTATCCTATTATTAACAAATATTATTATATTTTCTGTCCAATTAAAATAAATGTTCTAATATTTTGAGATTGAACAACAATTTTTTTAAAAATATTATATTTCTTGAAATATGAGCAGATTTTAAGCTAGTTTCATTATTTGAGGAATATAAATTCCTCACAAAAATATCGTTTGCATCGATGCATTATATACGTATAATACATAGTAAAGTGTTTTATTTTCATCAGATGAGAAAAATGGAGTTCTCTAGAATATTTTGAACCAGAGTTGTGTTTTTGTAAGAGCTTTTGTAAGAATGATATAAAATATACTCTAAAAAACTTATATTAGTTCAGGCAACAAAGGAAAGATGAAATCGAGAGTCTATAAGTTGTGTCCTATTTAAAAATAAGAAAAAGAACTTAGCTGGTGACGTTTTAAATCAGGGATGTTGGATGCAATCATGTTAAGATGCAGTCAAAAGTGTTTCTATTTAGTAATTGTTTATCAGTAAGAAAGTAATAATTTGCAAAGTAATTTTTGAGCTAACAGTTTGAGTACTATAGATACTCAGTTTCGTAAACCCCGCAGCAAGAGTAAAAAAAAGCAAAAGAACATAATAGTTATTATTTCTATTTGTGTTACATATCATATAATAACCATTGGAGGGAAGCGATTGTGAAAATTTTATTATTTAATTTTCATTAAATTTTTGCGTCACTCTTACAGTTTGTAAAATACTAGGGGATTTCGTTATTCTAAGAAAAATGTGGATTAATTATAATATCTGACATCTTATTAACGAGATTTGCTCGAAAGGAAAGTTACTGCGATACAGACTCGAGTATCTGTAGAATATGTGGACGTTTTAATTCGTGACTAAACCAGTTGTACAGAATAACTTTGAAAATGGAGGGGGGGGGGGGAACACTAAACGTATTAAAAGATCCTTGAACTTGCAAACGACGTTGTGTTCATAAAATTTCTTTTAAAAAATAAACTTTAAAGCCTTTTCTAGCTGAAACTTGAAACATTTTTACAATGATTGTTTGGAACTTTTCTCTCTGATAACCGTTGACTAAATGAATATGTAAAATGTTCACTTTTCCTAGAAAGGGGAGTAAATGTAACGTTTTTTTAAACCTCTCTGTTTTAAAAACTTCACCTCTAAGGAAATAATAACGCTATAATAAGTTCCTGGAGAAGGATTGATAAGATTTTTTAAAACTGAGTAATCATATTGCGTGCCTATAATATGTGTTTTCATTATTTTTGCTGATAACCATTTACAAAAATTTAGAAAAGAGAATTTTGCAATTTAATGAGTACAAGCTATTTTTTATAAATGTTGTACTTTTTTGAAGGTCGACAAATATACCACAAAAATTAAAGGTTCAAGAAAGAAAAAAAGTTTAAAGTGAAAAATTACGATTTAGACAATTTTCTGTGGAACCAGTAGTTGAGTTGTAAAGAGTTAAAATGTGTCTTTTATAGTTCTCCTTAGGGCTCTTCTTCGAAGACAATGTCATCATATGAAATAACTTTAGACACTTTAAAAGCCATGTTCTTTTTTTATTTACTCTCTTTAACCCCTTAGGGTATTTTTAGAAGTTATTTCGATATGGGGAAGAAAACTGCAGTTTGTTTTAAACTCAAACAAGGAAAACTGAAATGTTTATATATATATATATATACACACACTACAATAATGAAAGAAACAGCTTTCATCTTCTAACATTTTTTTAAATTTCTCAAGAAATACTAAAAGGATTATTAAGTTCTATAAATAAGTTTATAATTGTTACGTTCCTGCCTAATGGTTCCTAAGCTTTCAAAATCGCATGAACTGCACACCTCTAAAGTTACAAAATAATCCTTTTAGTATTTCTTCAGAAATTTCAAAAATTGAAAGTGTTTTTTCCATTATTTTAGGGTAGTGTATATCTAAACACAGGGTGAAAAGAAGTTTGAATATGATGAAATAGTTAAAGAACTATACATCGAAATAAAAAGTGAAACTAGACGCATTCAATATTTTTTAAAAGCCTTACAATGATGCCAAACTCGATCTCTCAATAATCTCGTGGTGGGCAACTTTGAAATCTTGAATAAATACCCGCATTTTTTATTGCAGATTCGGATTCTCCAGAGAAAAGTAATCCTATTTGAGTTGTAGGTTTATGCATTTTGTTTTAGATGGCCAAATCGCGATAGATTTGTAAGTTTGAGATAGATGTGTAAATAAAAAAAATATTCTTTTATATTTCAGCTCTTATATCTTTTATTTTTTTGTCACAGTGTCTTCTGACAAAATTGTGAACTATTTTTTTCGACGGAAACCCGGATCGCATGATCTACATAACTTGTATTTGCAGATTCATCTGAATCCGTTCAGTAGAACCGGACGTACGAACCTTTGAATTCTGTCAGTTTAATTTTAACTGTATATATATATATATATATATATATATATATATATATATA